ATTAACTCAAAAAATTCAGGAGCCCTCCTATATACAAATGATAAATGGGCTCAGAAATCAGAGAAACATTCACCCTTTACAATAGCCACAAATGATATAAAATATGTTGGGGTAACTCTAACTAAGCAACTGAAAGACCTGTATGATAAAAACTTTAAGTCTCTAAAGGAAGAAATAGAAGAAGATATCAGAAAATGGAAAGATCTTCCATGCTCATGGATTGGTAGAATTAACATAGCAAAAATGGCAATCTTACCAAAAGCAATCTTCAGATCCAATGCAATCCCCATCAAAATCCCAACACAATTCTTCACAGACTTGGAAAGAACAATACTTAACTTTATATGGAAAAACAAGAAACCTAGGATAGCTAAAATAATCCTGTATAATAAAGCAACCTCTGATGGCATCATTATCCTTGACCTCAAGCTCTACTATAGAGCTCTAGTAGTAAAAACAGCTTGGTACTGGCATAAAAACCAACATGTGGACCAATGGAATCAAATTGAAGACCCTGACATTAATCCGAACACCTATGAACATATAATTTTTCACAAAGAAGCCAAAACTGTACCATGGAAAAAAGAAAGCATCTTCAACAAATGGTGCTGGCATAACTAGCTGTCAACATGTAAAAGATTGCAAATAGATCCATATCTGTCTCCATGCACAAAACTCAAGTCTAAGTAGATCAAAGACTTCAACATAAATCCAGTTACGCTCAACTTGATAAAAGAGAAAGTAGGAAATAATCTGGAATGCATTGTCACAGGAGATCACTTCCTAAATATAACACCAGTACCATAGACACTGAGAGCAACAACTAATAAATGGCACATCCTGAAACGGAGAAGCTTTTGCAGAGCAAAGGACACAGTAAATAAGACAAAATGACAGCCTACAGAATGGGAAAAGATCTTCACCAACCCCACATCTGACAGAGGGCTGATCTCCAAAATATATAAAGAACTCAAAAAGCTAGACTTCAAAATACTGAACAATCCAATTTAAAAATGCTCTACAGAGTTTAACAGAGAATTCTCAACAGAAGAATCTCAAATGACTGAAAGACATTTAAGGAATTGCTCAACATTCTTAGTCATCAGGGAAATGCAAATCAAAATGACTCTGAGATACCATCTTACATCTGTCAGAATGGCTAAGATCAAAAACACTGAAGACAGCTTATATTGGAGAGGATGTGGAGCAAGGAGAACACTCCTCCACTGTTGGTGGGAATGCAAACTTGTATAGCCACTCTGGAAATCAGTATGACGGTTTCTCAGAAAATTGGGAATAAGTCTTCCTCAAGACCCAGTTATACCACTCTTGGGCATATACCCAAGGAATGCTCAATCTTACCACAAGGACACATGCTCAACTATGTTCCTAGCACCCTTATTTGTAATAGCCAGAACCTGGAAACAACCTAGATGCTCCTCAACTGAAGAATGGATAAAGAAAATGTGGCACACATATACCCAATAGAGTACTGCTCAGCAGTAAAACAAACAAACAAACAAACAAACAAACAAACAATGATATCATGAAATTTGTAGGCAAATGGATGGAACTAGAAAACATCATCTTGAGTGAGGTAACCCAGACTCAGAAGGACAAATATAGTATGTACCCTCTCATAAATGGATACTAGATGTGAGGGGAGGGAGGGCCAAACTGCAATTCACAGTTCCAGAGAAGCTTGCTAACAGGGAAAGACCCTAGGAGGGACACGTGGATGGCCCAGTGAAGGAGAAGTGGATGAGATGTACATGATGGGACTGGGTGTGGTGGGTTGCAGAGGGCAAAGAGTGGGGGATGAGAACATAGGGAAATGGAAGGGTCAAGCTTGAACAGGTACAGAGTGGTAGGAGTGGGAGGGAGATACCATGATAGATGAGGACATAATGGAAATAGGAAGAGTCAGGGTTCTGGGCAGGCGCTCAGGAAGCCCCAAGAATGACCCCACCTTGGTCTGCTGGCAGTGGTCCAGAGGGTGCCTGTACTGGTCTACTCTGGTGACTGGTCTAGCGAATAACCTAACTGTCATCATAGAGCCTTTGTCCAGTGACTGATTGAGGCAGATGCAGAGATCCAGCGAGGCACCAGGCTAAGCTCTGGGAATCCAATCAGTGAGAGAGAGAGGAGGGATTCTGCAGGTAGGGGACATTGAGATCATGATGGGAGGATGGGCAGAGATGACTGGCCACGGTAGTGGAAGCCCTTGAACTGTAAATTGGTGGTTGTGGAGCCCCCATGGGACTGGACTAGTCCCTCTGGATATGGAAGACAGTTGTTTGGCTCAAACTCTTTGGGGGAGCACCCAGGCAGGGGGATTGGGATCCATCCCTGGTGCATGGGCAGGCTTTTGGGAGACCAGTGCTGTTGGTGTGATGCCTTGTGCAGCCTTGGTACAGTGGGGAGGGGCTTGGACCTGCCTAGGCTCCGTGTGCCAGGCTTTGCTGATTCCCCATGGAAGACCTTGATTTGGGGGATGTGGTAATTGGGGTGGCTTGGGAGAGAAGGCTAGGTGGTGGGAGGAGGGAGGAGGTGGAATCTGTGGATGTGGGATATGTAGAGTGAGTCAAACATTTCTTAATAAAGAAAAATGAAAAAAATTGCAAAAAACAAAAAAAACAAATAAAAGAAATTATTTTTGAGTGTAGATTAGTAGGAATTATAATTGTGAATAGTAATGATTATGTTAGAGTTATTATGTTAAATATTGATAATGATGCACCAAGATTTGGTGAAGTTAAGGACGAATTTAAGTTTGATGTGAATACAACAGAAGTTTATCCTACATTTTGTTAGCAAGAAAGTCAAATATTTCTATTAAGAGTTTGCTTTAAGATGTAAGATTAAAATAATTATAACTATGTATAGCAATATTTATTTTAGAATTATGTTAATCTGTTAATATTAATGATGAAGCTATGGGAGTTTTTAAGTTTGATGCAGTTGCATCAAGAACTTTTTGGTTTATAAAAGTCTGCCGTAGTCACCTTACACCCATTCCAAAAAAGAAATGCCATCTTTATCATTTTCTACTCCTATATTGGGAGGTTTAACAGCTATGGAGATTGCTGTGAGCTCTTAATGGGGAGTTGTTTGTTTATATATTAAGAAGGGGGGACCTGTTGGAGCCCATTTAGCTTTCCTAGTGGTCTGCAAAAGGAGGATGATTGAACCACAGACTTGAGTACCAGGTGTCTGAAATGGTCTGCACTTGGCTGTCCTGGGTGGAGGTCTTTTGCTCCACCTCTTGGCATTCCTTTAAAAACCCTTTGGTAGACACAGTCAGGGCCCTATGGATTAGGATCCAGGCCCCCCCTGAGCCTATCCTATATATATATTTTTTAAGATTTATTTATTTATTATGTATACAGCATGTATGACTGCAGGTCAGAAGAGGGCACCAGATCTCATTACAGATGGTTGTGAGCCACCATGTGGTTGCTGGGAATTAAACTCAGGACCTCTGGAAGAGCAGTCAGTGCTCTTAACCTCTGAGCCATCTCTCCAGCCCCGCCTATCCTATATTTTGTATCTGTTTCTATCCCCTCTATCTTACTAACTAATATTTCCAGCTGCTTCTACTCAAGAGTACTCTGGGGAAATATGGGGGATGAGATGTCCCCACACAAACCCTTTGATCTGCAATGGGAACAAACGACTCTTAAGAGCAGGCTCCATGGCCATTTGTAGATGGTCAACACATAAAGAACTCAGTGGCATCTTTGGAGTTTCATTGTCTCATAATGTTGTGGCAGACAATTTTTCTTTCCTTCCTTTTTCTTTATCTTTTTCTTTCTTTCTTTTTACCCTATAGGTACATTAGGTATGTATTATGGTATTCAGGTTTGTGTTTTTCTAGGCTTCTTAAATATGAGAGCTAGTGTGACTCTGCATCTATATGGGTTTTTTTTTAACTTTTTCATTTGTTTGTTTTTTTTCAAACCCTCATTAGTTCATTTTTGTCAAATCTTATTGTACTTTCATTTATTTTATCTCTATTCCTCTGGTGTGTTTTCTAATGAGAGAGAGAAAGAGAAAGAAAAAGTATGGATTTATGTGAATAGAGAGGTCTGTCTGGCAAATCTCAGAGTAGTTTTGGTAGTAAACTGTAATCTGGATGTATTTTATAAAAAATCTATTTTCATTATAAGAAAAAAATCATACATACTGAACCACATTGATGTGGATGTAGAAAATGATTATGACAAATATCGATCTGTGAATTCATGAAGAAGAGATGCACATTGCAATCACAAACAAAAAGCCAAATTTCAATAAATAAACATGAGAGTTGACTTATATATTGACCTGGGGTAACTGACTCAAAATTTCCTAATAAGTATGAACTCTCCAAACAAGAAAAAAACCTGTGCATGCATATTGATATTTTTATATGAGCTTGGTACTCATATTTGAATGTGTTATAAAAAGTTCCCTGCCTCCACTGGGCATTGATTGAGTGTGGCTGCTCCACTTTATGTGTTACTGCATGACCTAGGTAGATGTGATACAGTAATAACTTTGACTGTTCCTGCTTTCATTCCTTCATCTACAATCTAAAAAGCATCTTTATTTGTAATCATCTTGAAATATTTTCATACCAGTGTCTTTGGACTGGTTTTAGAAAAATTACCCAAATGAGGAGAGATATTTTCTTTAGCCTTATTTTATGAGGTCTTGAATATAGCATGACACCTGGGAATGAGAATGACAATCCTCGATAATATTTTTCAACTTGTGATTCTGTTTAGAACAAGGACCTCAGATGCAGAGCCCCAGGACAGAGAGTGTTCCACACTCCTCTAGAGGATTTTAGCAATCTAGGTAGGGACACATTGGGGAGGGAGGTTCATTTGGGCTTCCCAGGCAGTATAAAATACGCTCACATATTCATACAAACTTATCAAATATTCAAACCTCCCAAAGTTGCAGCCACCAACTTCATGTCCACAAAAGCTTAGGTCTTTTTAGACTTACTACTGATGTTTCTGCTGGTTTTTATCTGCCTTATCTTGCTATTTCCCCAGCTTATGTACTCTTATGACCCTATTTCATGTGCTTTGAAAAAGAAAGCAAGCATATTCCTAGAAGGGGATATCATGATTGCTGCACTGCTCCCTTTTTATACTTGGCAAAGACAAATCAAAGCCACAGGTCATTATCAGAATGTCAGACGGTGAGTATCTTCTTTAATTTACTCATTTTTGTACTAGATATCAAGGATCTGATCATGAATTTATCAATGCCTGTTGTAACTTTTCTTCTGATTTTTTTCCCACGTCTATGGAACAGTTCTCAATGCATTTCTCTCACTATTCATTAGGTTTGTAAATTAAGAAAGAACAGATTTTTTTTAACATTCCTTCCTTTCACCAATTGCTTTTCAAGGGTAAATGCTCTCAAATTACTCCAGCATGCCCATCCTTCACTAGTATAGAATGTAATTTCATAGGACCATGCAATATACATTAAATAATAACATAATTTTCTAAGATATGTTATGAGGTGTCACAGCAAGGTTCTTATTGTCAGGTGTCAGTTAGATGGTGATGTCCATTTAAACATGTGTTATTCATTCAATTTTATTTGAGAAGCCACTGCTACTTCTGTTCATATAAACAGTAGGTTTCACTTAATAGGGTCCATGTATACATTTCTATGAAATTTATACTATTACTTCATGTTATGCAATGTTCACAGCATCTGAAATATCAAAAGGAGAAAGAGAACAGGCAGGTGTGAGATACTTTTATTTCTAAAATTTATTTCTGTTTTACTTGGACATATTAATTTCTGCAAGTAATAAAGACATTCAATGTACTTTTGCAACATAAAGTCTAATTTGTAGATGCTTAAGAGTAAATTCACTAGAATCACAGCATTCTGATTTTCCCTATGTGTGAATAAAGTATTATTGGAAGTAGCAACCACTGAAGTTCCTGATCAGATGCTAGACTCACAGTTCTAGCCCAGTATTTGTTAACATGGAACACAGGGTCATAAACTGGAGCATCTTTACAGTTTTAGAAGGCTTTCCTTCCTCTTCTATTAAAATGGTATGATATTTATATGTTTAACTTTCTTCAGTTTAACACTTTCCTAAAGGTCCATGATATGTTTATTTCACCATTTTCTGGGGTTGAATTTCATATTGGTATTAATGTTTACTTGTAGCATTTTTTCTGATAGCTACTACTGAAAATTATTGTAACTACTGACAAATTAGTAAGATCAATAGAGATGTCTGGGGTAATTCTTGTAATACTGATTAGTTAGGTTTCAGAAACCTGTGATTCATGACACTATAGTGAGGAATAATTTATTTCATGAAGGGCCTATGTGGATATTTAAACACTTATAAAGTTGTTTTTCAGGGAAAAAGAGAAAATATACTCTGTTTTGAATGGATGTGTAAGAATCTGTATTCCATGATGACTGTGGTATCAGAAATAGTACATTTTTTTGTTTTTGTTGTTGTTTTGTTTTTTGTTGTTGTTGTTTTTTGAGACAGGGTTTCTCTGTGTAGCTTTGTGCCTTTCCTGGATCTCGCTTTGGAGACCAGGCTGGCCTTGAACTCACATCGATCCTCCTGGCTCTGCCTCCCAAGTGCTGGGATTAAAGGCGTGCGCCACCACCGCCCAGCTAATAGTACATTTTTTTAAAGAATAGACAGAAGTTATTTTGTCTTAACTATAATTAGAACAATCTTCTAAAATCCAGTTTGTGTTACCACTTAGTACTTTGTGAAAGATAGCTGAGTGAAACAATTAGAAATAAAAAGCTACATGAAATATATTTTATCTAAGACAATTGAATAGAACAGGAAATTTCCAGTACATCCACTAAAATACAAAATTGTAGCTCTACTGTCTTTTTGGAGACCATTACCTATGATGGGACACCTTGCACAGCCTTGATGCAGGGGGAGGGACTTGGACCTGCCTCAACTAAATGTACCAGGCTTTGCTGACTCTCCATAGAAGGATTTACCTTTTTAAAGGAGGAAATGGGAGGTGCATTAAGGAAGAAGGCTGGGGGGAGCAGGATGAGGGGAGAGAAGGGGTTCTGTGGTTGGCATGTAAAATGAACAAATAATTTCTTAATAAAGAAAAAAGGTTTTACTATCATGTGTCTATACAGGATTGAAAATAATTATCATTAAAACATTAATGATAAATTAAAAAACTGTAGCTCTAGCACAGTCCTTGGAGGAGTTAAATATTCTGAGGAATAAACTCTTTGCATGATCTCTAGGTCCAGTTGTTAGAGGGAAAGTTCATTTATCTTTGTAGGCAGAGAAAGTATGTGGGTGTTTTCTTTTCTGCTTTTCAATCTCACTACCTCAGAGACAAATGTTCCCCAACTGGTTGCTTTCTTCATAATTTTTTAGTTGAATCTATCTAAGAGAGAAAAGAATGCATTTCCAACTTCACAATAATTTATTCAGTAAAATAATCATTGAGTGTTATTTTCAGTAGAATAGTACATATTCAAATTATAATGTCAAACTTTAATGTTAGATGTGTCAGGAGAGTGCATGGAAACCCACAGACAGTAAAATTATCATGTCTTGTTAATTGCTAACAACATTTACATTGTCTGCATATGGAAATTCATTGGAAAGAAATTGTCTTATCCTCTTTTATTTATACTGCATTATTTTAAAAATAAATTTTCTTTTTAAACAATTTATATATCCTCTGGTTTGCCCAAAAGTGTATTCTCCAGAAAGGAAAATTGTTTACTCCTAAATACAATATCCAACTTGTATTTGTTAGACTTTGTAGCTTCTTAAGATTTGTGTGATCCCATCATATATTTCGACTTCTGCCTATGCTGTTGATATAATTTCCTGTGGAGAACCCAAGGAAGTGGGAAGAAGGACATCAAAGTTTAGATATATACTTTTCAATTATATTTATTTATTTATTTATTTATTTATTTATTTATTTATTTATCTATTTACTTCACTGTGGGAGATGCATTGTTGCAATTTACACTCTCACAAATAGTATGTAGCATTTTCTGATTCTCAATATTATTGCAATTTTTTCTCATTTTTGTCCTGATTTTAAAAATCAGCTCATGAGACAGTTGATTGGCTTGATCTGTTTGGGAGGCATCCAGGCAGTGGGACCAGATCTTGTGCTCATTGCATTAGTTGGCTGTTTGAAACCTGGGGCCTATGCAGGATTGTTTGGCTTGGCCTGGGAGGAGGGGACTAGACCTACCTGGATTGAGTCTACCAGGTTGACCTCAGTCTGTGGGGAAGGCTTTGCCCTGGAGGAGATGGGAATGGGGGGGGGGGGGTTGGGGGAAAGGTGAGGGGGACGGGAGGGGGGAGAACAAGGGAATCCGTGGCTGATATGTAGAACTGAATTGTATTGCAAAATAAATTAAAAAAAAAAAAGAAGTTGGAATAAAAAAAAAAATCAGCTCATGATAATATGTGGTTTTTATTTGCACATTCCTGACAGATAATGAGTTTGTGTAATTGTTGGCATTAATTCTGTAATCAATTAATTCATCTTTTATTGAAAATAGATTTTTTCCATAAAGCATATTCTGATAATGTTTTTATTAGAAAATAAAATGTTTATATCTTCCAGCCCTACTTCTTTAGGATAGGACTTCTATATAAAATTGTTGAATTTTGCCAAAGGCTTTTTCTTCAGCTGTTGGGAAGACCATTTATACGGTTTATTTTAATTATGGACTTATGTATGCTGAACTGGTGCTGCATTTCTGGAACAAAGACAACTTACTCATGGAGAATGACTTTGACATGTTCCTGTACATGGTTTGTTAGTATTTTGTTGAGAATTTTTACATTTATATTCATCAGGGATGCTGGTCTGTGTTTATTTTTCTTTTTTTTTTTTGAACAGGGGGTGGCTACTTTGAGACAGGGTCTCTCTGTGTCGCTTTGGCGCCTTTCCTGGAATGCACTCTGTAGCCCAGGCTGGCCTCGAACTCACAGAGATCCACCCTCCTCTACCTCCCGAGTGCTGGGATTAAAGGCGTGCGCCACCACTGCCTGGCCTGTGTTTATTTTTCTGTTGCTGTTGTTGTGTCTTTACCTGCTTTGGATATTACAGTAATAAGGGTTTCACAGAATGACTTTGGGTATTATCATTCTATTTCTATTTTATAAAAAACAAATTGAGGAGTATTAGCTGTAAATCTTTTTTAACAGTGTGAAATAATTCTGCTGTGAATCCATCTGTGCCTAAATATGGTGTTTGGTCATGTTGTTTTTCAGTTTTTGGTATTTTTTCCTTTTTGGTAAAAAGGATTTTTATTACTGTTTCCATCTTTTCAAAGTTAAATTTTATGATTTTTTTTCTTTTTTGAAAACAGATTCTAGGGTTGGAGAGATGGCTCAGCAGTTAAGAGTACTGGCAGCTCTGCCAGAGGACACAGGTTCAATTCCCAACACCCACATGGTGGCTCACAGCTGTGTGTAACTCCTGTACAAAAGGATCCAGCACACTCACACAGATATATATTCAGGCAAAACACCAACGCACATAAAAATGAAAATAAATAAATCATTCTTCTAAAAAAAGAGAAAATGGATTTTTTTCTCATAAAATACACCCTGAATATAGTTTCCCCTTCCTCTACTCCTCCCAGTTTGTCCACATATCCTCTCCCCTCCAGATCTACTCCCTTTCTGTTTCTCACTAGAAAAGATCAAGATTCTAAGAGATAACAAACAAACACAACAAAATTATATATAATAAGGTGAAGCAAAACTAGCATATGTACAGTGGACAGGACAACCCAACAGGAAGAAAAGAGTCCTAAGAGCAGGTACAAGTATCAGAGGCCCACTGGTTCTCACAATTAGGATTCCCATACAAATACTAAGCCAATAGCAATAATATATATGCTGAGGTCCTGGTGCAAGCAATCTAGGCTCTGTGCTTGCTGTTTCAGTCTCTGTGAACTCAGATGATCCTTGCTTTGTTGATTCAGAGGGTCTTTGTTCTCCTGGTGTCTTCCATCCATTCTGACTCTTAGAAACTTCCTGCTTCCTCTTCCACAGGATCCCTGAGATCTGATGGGAGAGGCTTGATGGAGACCTTCAGTTTAGATTCCCTCTTCCCATAATGTCTAACTGTGGGTCTCTGCATCAGTTCCCATCTACTGCTGGAGGAAGCCTCTCTGATG